TGATAACTTATAATTATATTTAAAAATAATTATAAAAAATAAAAACTTATTAAATTTATTAAATTTTAATTATAATAATATATCTACTTTATTACAAAAAATTCTTAAACAAATCAAATCTCCTTTAGTCCTAAATTCTAAAATTATTCTAACTTACAAATATTTTTCAAATATAATAACTATTATATAAAACTTTTTTCAACTAAACAATTTATTTACAACTAGCTTTTCCCTTCCTTTTTTTTCATTCCTATATTATTTATTAATAATAATACTTCTAACCAACAAAACTAACTAACTTATACTCTTTTGTAAATATTTCAAAAAATTTTAACAAATTATTATCTTTACTTTCTACCAATTACTGAAAAAGATACAAACTTCTATATACCACTATTATTAGCAATATTTATAATATCATTCAAATATTACAAATTTCTTGCTCCTTTTAAAAACCTATTTCAACAATAGATAAACTTTAATCAAATGACATTACTATATTCCAACTTAATATAATTAATCCTTTTTCTCTTCCTTATATCTTATTAAATACATAAAACAATTCTCTACTCCTATTCATAACCTTATCAAAAAAATAAATAAAACAATCAGACTTATTAATATTATTCATTTAGAAAAAACAAAAATTACTCTTAAATTTGATTTCTTCCTTTTATTATACTTTTTTATTTTTCTCAAAAAAACATCACTTTCAATTACTTAATTCCAATTTAAACTTTATAATTTTTGTCTTAAAATTCTTTCCAATATATTATTAACCAAATTCTATTTACACTCTACTTTACCTTACCTTTATACTAATAATCTCTGTCTATAATGCAACTTAGCTTTAGAAACAATATATCATATCTGACTTTGTAAAGAAAGCAATTCAACTATTTATCAAATCATTAACAATACTATTATATAAGTCATTTTCTCTTTCAAAAACAACAAAAACTTTAACTCAAATATTTTTAAATAACTTATTAACTCTCCTCTTACCTGCACAAATCTAGCTTTTGAACTTTCAAATCCTAACTTCTGCTTTAATAACCTCAAACCTATATCAAAAGACCTAAAACTATTAAACAAACTTTAAAATAAACTATTTAATATTATTTATCTTGAAATTTGAATTCTTAGAAACAAAAGCATAATCAAAGAAAAAAAAATTTACAATATTTTTCAAGCAGACAAACTTAAGAAAAATAAACAAATACCTATAAACAACAATAAAACCAAAAGAAAACTTATCTCAAATAACAATTCTTCCAATTAAAACTTAAACAAACTTCTCAATATCATTACTAAAACTTTTTCTAAAGATCTATCAATGTCTTTTTATAACAAAATAAATTATTAAGGAGGTATTAGCCTTCCAAGAATAGATAGTTCCTTTTGTTTTTCTTTTTAAAAAGATTTTTTATCAAAATATATTTATACAGTAGTAGGTTAATATATATAGCAATGTATCTTAAAATCTAAAAAATCAAATATGTAACATTTTACTCAATTAATAAAGATTATAAGAAATGTCTCACTTAATATTAAAAAAAAATTATAATAATAGTTTTGATAAAAAGCAAGAAAATATATAATATTTTAAGATATTTAATAAAAAACAAAATTTTTTGAAAATTTTTGAAAATAAGTATAAATAATATAGTAATTATATTTTAAAGAATATTTTTTAAACTATTTTAATAATTTTTAATATTGTTATAAGAAAAAAGTAATGAATAGATTATAGAAAATTATAAGAATAAATATAAGGATAAGTATATTAAATATAATATTATCTATATATATAATATAATTAAGGGAATAGATAAAATAGATTTGTAACAGGTAATACTTATATAATAAAGATTATTATTTTTAATAAAGTTTGATTTAATAAAAGAAATTACTATATACAAAGTAATTAGTTAAAATATAAAGTGACAAACTGATTTATATTGGCATTATAGACTTTAGTCAAATTCATATATCTTTTTTAAAAAGAAAATCTTCTCAAGTATTATATGGAGCAACTGACTGTTATGATTTTCTTTATAATAATATATTTGAAACAAAAATTAAGAAATAATTAATAATTAATAATTTTTTTATTTACTGTATTATAGAATAATAATAAAATTAATATAAATGTTTAAAACCATATTAATTGTTTATTATATTGTTTATTTTTGTATAATATTGAAATACATTTATATATAGTATTAAAATATTGTGAACTGCTTATTATAAGTATTATTAAAATATAAGTACTATCTTGATTTTATAAAAAAAAAAACATAAAAATAAATATAAGCATTATTTAAAATAAAATAAAAAAATTAATAATACTATTATAGATTTATTTTAACTGTATATTAAAATAAAACTTTAATTTAATAATTTAATGCTTTAAATATAATTTTTATTTAAAAAATCAATACATTATATAAAATTTTCAAATATAAGCATCATATAGATTTTAGTATCAAAACTATGCTAAAAAACTGGTGTTTATAATAAGTAATTTACAGTATACAGTATATATTTTTATAATAATATATAATTATATTAAAAAATAATAAAAAGAAATTTTTAATTACTGTATATATTTAAAATTTTCTATAAAATATGATTAATAAAAAATATTTAATTTATATAAAATTTTGTTTAAACTTATTTTATAAAATATTTTAAATTTTAAATATAAAAATTAAAAAAAATAGGTTTAAAGTCTTTTTAAAAGATTATTGTTTTAAGTTTTTTTATAAAATAATTTAATAAATTTTTTCAAAAATACATGTATATATAATAATTTTAAAAATAATTATTTTTTTAATAAAATTCATATCATTCTGTTTCTAAGTTTTAAAATAAATTTATTTTTAATTTTTTTAATAATTATGAATTAAAAATATGAAATAATTTGATATTATTTCAGTTTGATATTTGCCTAAAAAAAATTTAATATATAATTTACAGTTATAAATAATAATAAAAAATACAATATCATTTTTTAAATTTTAAATAAAAAGTATTGAATAGAATATTTAAATTTTTTAATTATTTTTTAAAAATAATTTAAATTAACAATAGAATCTTATTTTGATTTCAAATTATTTAACATATAAATTTATTTTTATGATATAGCTTTATATGGTTGAATATATAAGAATATATAGTATTATATATATATGATAAAAGTTATTTTGTTATTAACTCAAATCTCTAAATCTTTAAAAACAATTTTATCATAACTCAATTATTTATATATTTTACTAATTTGTATTAAATAATTGTGTCAATTGTATCAATAATCTATGAATTTTTATTTTACAGTATATATTGTACATTGTAGGTTATTATTAAAGAATATATATAGATTTTATTATTATAAGAATTTAAAAATCTTTTGAGAATATCTGTTTTTATAATATTCATCTTTTTTCATTAACTTTATTAAATTTATAAAAATGATAAAAAACATTTTTTACAAAAAAAAAATCAATACACAGCAAACACACCATATAATGTATTGATGGTTTGCTTAAAAATTGATTTTTTTTTTAGAGATCAGACTTTTTTTTTAAAAAAGAAGAATGGTGAAGCACAATGTGATTGAAATCCATTTTTCAAGAATCACTTTGTATTGCTGAAAAAAAATATGTGATGAGATATAAATTATTATAAGAGATATGAAATTATTTTTTTTTATACTGTATTTCAATCAAAAAAAAAAATTTTTTTTTAAAAAATATTGCATGTGGTGTTTATTGATTTTAATTATCATTTCCTATTTATTAAACTTTTTTCTCGTTCCGAATTTTTTTTTTTTAAAAAAATTAAGGTTAATTGGATTTTCATAAGAGAAAAATAATTAATCTTCAACATTTCATATGAATTTCATCTACGCACCCTTGTCGTGTAATAATGATGGGGAATTTTTGAGTTGATATTCTAAAATGAAATGGAGAATGAACCGTAGATCCCCTCGGCTATCGCTGCTGCCGACGATGATGATGCAATGTTTTCGAAAAATTTTTCGAAGAATTTCCACAATGAATTGCGTTGTTGAACAGCTTTTTTGTTTTCTTAATATAACTTCACCGCAAGGTCTTATCCGATGGATTTTTTTGGTAAGCGGATGCATTCCCCAATCATCATTATGGATTAATTTGAATTTGATCATAATTTGTTTTGGGGTTTTTTTTTGCATGAATCGTTCATTCACATTTTTGTTATCGGGGGAATTTTTTATTATGGAATTTTATTTTATCAAATAATTTTGGAAAGAAAAGGAGAAAATAACCAACAACAAAAAAAAATGGGGTAAGTTATGACTCAACAGAATGTTATCTTGTTGTATGTGATTTAGGAAATTAGTATCAATTCAATGAGAAAAAATTTTCTTATATTAAATTATGTTGAAACATATTAGATGAGATGCCGATAACATTGGTAAGTGCCGAGTATGCCGAATAATAAATAAAATAAAATAAAATAAATAGATCATTATGACTTTTTTTCACTTCGATATTAAAATTTAAATAGGTTCTTTGTGGACATGCGTATATGCGTGACGATCGGAATTATATATCAAGTCACAAAGAAATCCGATATTTCATGATTGATCTAAACCAAATGGCATAATATTTCCATGTTTTTTCAAGCAGCAATTTCTTTTTTGCCTTTGATGTTACCGAATAAATCAATTTGTAATCAACTCGCAGAAGTCATCTGGTTCATTCGAAAAAATCGAAAAACGATACGGACAAAGTGACGCGCAGTTCGGAAGGAATATTCTAGTAGCACACACACATGCTTGATGATGAATGATTGGAATCAACTAGATTGGTGTGACGAAATCCTCGTGAGCTGGTTCACAATGATAACGAGGGTCGGTTACACGGAATACGAAAGGGGAAGCATATCGATTGGGGGGGGAAACGTTGAATCGAATGTGACAAGGTTAATTAATTATTGTTGACGCCAAGAGGTAATCAAGGAGTCCCAGGAGCTCTCTCATTGACTGTGCGTCCGTGTGATGGAGGTGGTGGCATTCGATTGCGTTGTTGGTCATTGCAAACGAAGCACTAATTAAATTTCATACAAGCAATTGTAGCGAGGTGCATGATTCCCGATAATATCACGCATGAACAAATCCGAGAAATTAATTTGTCAAGGTAATATAAACAAAAAGCAAAACATCTCCCAGTCATGAAACCCGTTGATGTGTAAAACTCAAATCAAACGAATGGCACGGTTTAATGGATTGGATGCATTAAGGTTTTTGATAAACAAGGAATCCGATTTATTACACATACATGCTCGATACCTGATACATGAATAGTTAGACCCTTCCCTGATAAACTGGATGAGTCATATTAGTATTTCATGGGGGGCGTGTTCTTCATGATTCCAATCAATTGTATAACCGAAGATTTCTAATATGAAATAGTTCTATTAAAAGAAACCTGTATTAAATTTATTCACGTAACATATGTGTGCGAGACAACACCTAGGTGAAACGTGATGGTACCTTACCATAAATGCAACTCTTTCTTCGGTCCATGTGCAATCGGTTGTGTATAATTAGTTATTTCACGCATGTGCCAATTGGTCAGAGTGTATGCGTAATCGGGATTCGTGGTCATATGTTTTGGTCATATGATTTCATTGCTTCGTGATTTTCACACAACAGATTTGTGAGTGATAAAGTAACGAAGAATGAAATGCAATCAAACAGATTAATAAAGCAATGTGTGTGTTTTTTTTTAAAGCAATCGCATCCAACCAAAAATAAAAATCTATAGTGAATACCTTTTGTCTTTTTAATATGGAAAAAAAAAGACGTATGCAAGACGTTCGAATAATAAGTAAGTACGTATGCACATACGTAACCCACTTTCCAAGGGGTGATCCTAGATAAACACGGCACGGCTACGTCGACGGCCAAATACGGAAAAAATATCACACACCGAGGCTGGAGACAATAACAATGATCGTTTTGTTCCTGTTTAACGTTAAATGGCTCTGGTAACGGATCTTCATTCGGTGCGCAAAAAAACCTGTATCATCACACCGACGGTAAACCGGTTGCGTATAACAAGATACGTGAAATTGGTTACAATGCCCAAGTTGTGCCTTGGGGGGAGGGGGTGAGCTGTTTAGTGATGAGGTGCGCTTCGTTTTTTGGTATCGTTCGACGAGCGAGTAACCTATTACATTACATGCTGTGTACGTAACCATGCATGGGATTCTTCGATCGGGTGACTCGAGCCCAACTTTCCGAAAGGTGAAGAAGTTACAATACACGTAGGTCGCTACGATCAGGCCATTGAGTTATCGATTGTTTGGGACCGCGCCAGGAAAAACCACGGCTAAAGAGGGTACTCTCATTCATTCACCATGATGGAGACATATGCACACGAATCTACAATAGTTTATGATAAGATTTTTTAGAAAATTCAATTTTTTTCTTGTTGACAATATTTACTTATTATATTGTTACTGTAAACATTACAATTACAAGATATTATCATAATCGGTAATAAGGCGATATCAAAAAGATAAAGGTGCATGTGAAATAGGTTGTCGGGACCGCGGAGGGGATCCATCGATTTGTTGTGCGTGTACTCCCGGAAAAATCATTTCTTTTTTTTCCAACGGAGGAAGTAAATGGCTTGAGATAATACACTGTATTGTGTATAACTCTTACGTTGGGTTTTGTGATAATGTGAATAAAGGGACTGGGAAGACCGTGGGCAGTGTTTCACGCTTTCCTATTGTTTGTTCTGTTTACGAGACCCGGCACGTACTACGCTTCACGATTCCTGTCATTTCACTTTACTTTCTCTTCTTGGTATTATTACATTATGTTAAACGTTTAATAATAATAATAACTTGGCCCGAATTATGTGACGCTTCCGTCGTCTATCATGAGATATATTTGATTTTTGCACTGAAAGAGGTTTCAATGGCGTAACAGCCTAAAGGTCAAAGATTATAATAGCTCATTTTCGGTTAGCCTTTTTTTTTTTTTTTTTTTCGTTTGGTCGATGGTGCGGTTGACGCAAGAACCAGCTTTTCTCTTGTGACACGGTAGAACCTCATTCAAGTCATGTACAATATAAATGTTACGTATGATTGACTCGAACTGAATGCAGTATCACAGCGTATTATTAGTATTATTACAGGGACGACGAAATCTATTCGAGGGACAAAAAAAGAATCGAATACTATATACTGTATAATACGTATCAATAGAAAAAACCATGACTATTTTATGCTATTTTGGATTCTGCGTGCTTTACTTCCTGTCACGGAAGGGATCTTCCTTTTATACTCCATAAACAATGTTCTTACACTTTCTCTGTTTACACTGTGTACCATACTTGTCACATCTAGTATTTTATACGTGCCCACTCGCCTTTTAAACAACAAAGAAGCAAGCCACAAAGCATATTTATTATTATTTTTTACTGTAACCTACTGTATGTCTGTATGTCATTACATATCTGTCGATTTCTTTTTTCTATAAATTCCCGAGGATTTGATTTTCTCCTCTTTTTTTTTTTTTAAAAAATATCCTTAAAGAAATCATATATTAAGCAAAAACCTTGTTTTCGCTGCCATTATTATTACTTTCGCTTCTATTTAACATTTTGCACTCACATAATTGTAGTACCTTCTTAAAATTTTGTAAAAAATTTTGCTTGGCAATATTCTTGGCACGGGCAGACCATTATTTGGATAAACCAGCTTTCTAGAATTTACCGTTCAAACCATTCTTATATAAAAACATTCAACAATTTCCCGGTCAAATTGCCTCCTTCTCTCTCTCTCTTCACGTTATAATACACACACACACACACACACACACTGTTACTTTGCTCCCTTGCAACGCTGATTAGTATCATAGTATTTGCCATTTACATGTTATTAATAAAGTAATAATAATAATAGTAGTAATAATAATAATAATAATAAAATCAATCAAAAAAAACAAGAGCGAAAGTAGTGCTTTTCTGTGATTAGGACGAGAATTTTCTTTTTTTTGTAAAAAAGGATGAATCAACTTTTTTCGAAATCTTCCCTCAGTATCTCTCCAAAATCAAATGCGGGAGATACTGTTGGTAGTAAAAGTGGCCGTCAAATGTCACCGCTATCGTGCTCCCCATCGTCAATCTCAATTTCTACAAATGCCTCCGACTCAATATTAGATCACCCTTCGATACTTCATCGCCAGCCCACCTTCTCCTACGTGCCAATACACAAGCGACGTCGTTCGGGTAGTTACTCTCCCTCTTCGATGTTTCTTCGTTCGATTAGCTCGTTATCGATATCATCGACTTCCCCGCAATTTACCGACAGCAACAGTGACGGTTCTTGGACCCCTGCTTCTTCAGATAACGAACTAACGATGCCAACAACTCCAACCTCGTCGGTGTTTACTCCCCTCGATGACGATTCAACGGAGTACACGAGTTTTCCAAATCTTGAAAAGTTCTCGGATGAAAGTTGGACGGAAATTAGGATTGAAAAGTGTGATCCGAACGAGATACAGATGGAAAGTTATGACGAAATGCTTGTGGGTGGAGTGCGATTTCAATACTCGTGATATGGTTCTCCTTTGAGTATGACGCTTTTGGTATCATCGTTCGCTCTTGCTGCTCTTATGATTTGAAAAAAAAAAAACAAAAAAAAATTTGCCACTTTGTTTGGAGGACCATCCGACGATAGGAGAATTCATTATATAGACTTTATGCCCCCTTATAAGGTTCAAGATTACTTAGAAATCTTCTTGGTACCAAAAGTATTTAGAATAATTCGTTAACAAAAAAAAAAAATTTTTTTAATAGTCTGGCCACATTCTTATTACCACCACCACCACTACTATTCTAATATATTTTTTTCTTTTTAACATTTGCATGTGGTATATCTTGGTATATCATTATTTGAAGGTCCCATGTGCATTCATTGCAATTGCATTCTTATACACGTTACCCGGTTTTTTCTTTTCTTTTCTTTTCTTTTTTTTTCTTTAAAATTATTAATTCGAGACGTTGATCACGTGATGGAGTATTTGTCCAGCATAGATATATCACCCCCAAAAGTATTCACTTCACTTATGTTCATTGTATAAAATTTTTCATTTATTCATTTTATTTCATTTTTGTTTTTGTTTTTTTTTTTTCTTCATTTTTTTTTTTTCTTTTCGATGGAAAACGTTCGAACGAATGCGACTCGGTCTCGTGCTCGAGAAAAAGTTTTCCTTGGGAAAGTAATTTCACTGTACAAAATTTTCTTTCTTTCTTCTTCTTCTTCCTCTTCTTCCTCATCTGTGTTCTTTGCTTTGTCTAGTCATCTGTTTTTCGAATTGTCAAAGATTTGTCGATAATCTATTTCCTCTCCTACGTAATTTATGACCCAACACTGGTAAAAAGGTTGATGAGTGTTGTACATTTATCGTGTTGCCCGATTATTTCCTGAAAGAATCCGGCATGATGTAATAATGAATATATACCAGTTCATCTGTATACACAATATATCATTTCCATCTCTTCACTTTAAAAAAAAAAAAAAAAAAAAAAATTAATAATCAATAAATAAAACATCAAAGTATAATAAAATACTTTTTTTTTTTTTTTTGCACCAGTAAAATTGCATACATCTTGTTCATAAGAATTCCAGTTATTTGCTCATTACCATGTCTTCTTTTGTCATGATTGTAATTTCCTTATTTATTTCCCGCATCACGAGCGTGTTGTGAAAAGAGAATGGTCTCTTGGAACAAAGGAAGGCGACAGAGATAATGAATACACAAGATGAAGTAATGATGCAGGTGCCTCGAACACATCTGATAATCTTACTTGGATCCCTCTTTTTTTTGTCTTTGGTCTCCCCTCTTGCACAATTGAGTATTGTGCACGAAAACTTGTTTCTCATGAATATGGAAAGAGCGATCTTTCGTTGTGAAACCTCGGCGAAGAAACAAACATTGCCCAGAGATTTTCAGAGTTGTCGCGATAGTGCGCAGTATACGGTTTGTGGCACAATTCCGGAGGCAAAAAAAAACTTGATCTCACTCTTTATGAACGGTCATTGATCTGGTGATGCTGTGCGACGTTAGTATGGTGAAAGAATTCATCGCGCCTACATGGTGGATGCAGATTACTTTTTAAAGGTGGTCAAAGAACGCTTACCTGAATGTCACAGGAATATTGCTTGTTTCGATTGATCGAAACATGTGAAGGTGCGAGGCGAGAACACAAAGTAGCCGGGAGAGCGTCTGATAATTAGGTAATGCAATAAGAACGAAAACATCATGCACAGCTGCGCAGCATCCTAAAGTTCGAATCAAGTTTTGGGTCCGGTATTGTGTGATTAAATAATGATTCAACGTTTGCTCCCTCATCCCAAGAGGTGTCCATTCGTTCCGGTAGCGTGTGACCCTTTGGGTTTCGGTGCTACGGAAATGCCGAAAGCCTGCTTGCGTCACCTATCCTTCAGAACGCATCAGTTCAATAAACGAACCCGCGAGATCTCTTATCTAATCGAGGAAATACTTGTGTGTGTTTCGCCTCGGTACAACTTGTTGTTACAATGGATGTACTAATAATTAGGTAATCTCGATTCTCGGTGCATGCGTCGAGACTAATTAATTAGTGCAAAATTGGATTGGATCAAGGGGTAATGCCCAACGTATTGTATTATGAGAAGCGGTCTAGCGGGAAGAGAATGTCAATTTTCGTAATTCTGATGGCGCTGAAATTTGATAGTTCCAAAATTACAACCTGTATATGCGCTCCCTGATTACGAAATGTTCCAGATACCGTTATTAGTAAGAAAATGCGGGGAACTTGGATTACTGGAGAAATTGCATAATTTACACCGGTTGTGAACACTGTTTTTGCAGGGATCAAGCGATGGCGTTAGGGGAGGTGTGGAACTTTGACCGAATCATCATATGAACTATGGTGCCGCCTACTATTTATAAATGCGCCTCCTTCATTACATTAAGATGATATTACATACAATGAATTCAAAATTGGAAACTAGAGAACCATTGCTTTGCTTCACTAGACTCCTGCACACAATGCTCGTCTACACAATCGTGACAAAGACGGCAATGATCTGACTCGACACCTCGTTTGACGTTTTCTCTACGTACTGTACGTAGGCTCCTCGACGAGCGTCGTGTATTTCACCGCGGATTTCAGATGATCGCTCAGCCTTCTATACTATTCTGGTTTTTTTGCGATTGACAAGAATACCATAAAGGCGATTGCCGTAAATGTATCAATCATCGTGTGTTTGGCGAAAACAATAGAAAAGTTGGCGTCAACTTTTGAACAGAGCGACCTGACCGTAGATGTTTATCATTGTTCAATCAACTTTACCCGATAATCATTATGTCAATAAGATGTTTGCGAACCAATGACGTCAAGGCAAATGAAAATTTGGTTAATTTGATTCAAATTCTACCCATCAACGTTTCGACTCCAAAAAAGAAATCACGAAACGGTCCTCGCTGTCAATCCACCCTAATTTTCATGTAATGTCTTGCAAATCCGTCACGAGTTCCACGGCAAATTTATTAGTTGCATCGGTACCCTTTCTTTCGACCCGATTAGAAAGAGGTTCACTCGTTTTGCTGTGTTAATTTGGACGGGCTCCTATTTGTCTCAATTCCCGGTGTTACGAGATCCTCATAAACAATGATTTGGCAAGCCGAAATACATAGTCGGAAGATTTAATCAAATTAACATATTTAATTATTATTTATAGTTATTTGCCATTTAAATTTTTAAAAATAGATAAGGTATTAAACAAAGTAAAAAAAAAAAGTCCATATAACATTAATAATCAAAATAAATAGCCGACCGTGCACATCACTTTTGTTTGCCACCTTAAAATTTGGCGTCGTATCACCGAGATGTTTTTTATAGTGATCTTTTTTTTTTTTTAAATAAAAAAAAAAAAATACATGCACGGCATCTAGACGTAGTATGTATGATACAGTATAATTAAAAAAAAGTTATGGCATTTTTTTTATCGTATTTTATCCTATTCTATTCTATTCATTTTATTTTATTTTAATCAGCCATCTTTATCAGAGTCCTCGAGATGCACATCTTTTTTATTTAATGTGATGTGCTCGCGGTACCCTTATAAAGTGAACCAGATAAAAAAAAAAATGATAATACACTACATTAATTTAAATATCATATTAAAATAAAATTGCAGTTTTGTAAATCGGGAACTTGCGTTCTTTGTGATCGATGCAATTGATGTTTGAATTTTTTGAATAAAGAATTAAAAAAGAAGAATGAAATGCGTGAACATTCGTTGTGTAAGAAAAAAATTTTTTAAAAAATCTTGTTAATCATCGATCGTTTATTATTTTACTGTATCTAATAAGACTTTTTTTTTTTTTTGTTAGCCAGCATCATCGTGCTACTTTTTGAAAAACAAGTTTTCTTATGATTGGTCAGTTGATATGAATGCTTATAAAGTAAAAAGGTTTTTCTAATTTTTTGTGTAAGATATTTTTTTAAAATTTTTTAAAAATTTTTATTTTCTATATTTTTCAAAATAGATTCGTATCAAAAAAAGTTTTTTTTTTTTTTTTTTTTAGTAATCGAAAAAATAGAAATATGTTTTAAAAACAAATTTAATTGTATTATTAAGTGAGTTTGTTTTTCTGCCTTTATATGTTTATTAAATTACAGCAAACCATATAAATATAAGAGATAAATACTACTAGCAAATAGGCACATCCTTACGTTTGTGCTTTAAGTCTTTAAGTATATACAATATTTTTTATACAAAGTCTATTAAGTGGATCTATATTTCTAAGTAATATAATAGGTGCATCAACTTTTAATAAAAGTATATGTGGAGGAAGGCCCGGAGGTGTTAAAGAGTTAAGATATTCAACTGGAAATAAATTCAAGTTGTCTTCTGTTGTTAAATCAAAACTATAGTATGTATATTGATTTCCAGGATATATAGTTATGATTCTTTAATTTCATCAACATCACTATTTAATGAAGTCAATATTGCTCTTTCTGTTATAAAGGCAGTGTTTAAAATATTTTTTGTAAGATTAGAATACACTGCATTTATTAATAAATTAATATGATTTTCATTATTTTGTGAGTGAATAATTATTTCATCAGGAAGCCAAATTAAATCATTTTCTATTGTAGATTCTATACCATTGCCAATTCTTAATAAGTAATTTGCAAATGTCTTTGTTTTATTATTTATAGCTTTAAAAACTTGTATATTTGTAGTTAAGAAAAAAATACAAATATGTGGCCATAAATAGGACTTATTAAAAAAAGCATTACCTATTTGAGCTCTAGTACCTTTAGAAATTATAGGTAAAACTTGTTGAAAGTCTCCTTCAAATAAAAAGATTTTATTGCCAATTGGAAAATTATTCTTTATAATATCTCTTAAAGTTTTATCAACAGTCTCAAAAACATGATAGTGCAACATTGGAGCTTCATCCCAAATGATTAAAACAGCTTTTTGAAGTAATATAGTCAAATCAGTTCCCTTTTTAGTATTGCAAGTCACATTTTTATCTATAATAATTGATATTTTAAAGCAAGAGTGTACAGTATATTCACTATGTAATAACAATGCAGCAATACCAGAGGATACTGCTAATGCAATTTAATGATTAGATCATATATGAGAAAGAAGACAATTATAAACATAAGTTTTTCCACTCCAGCAGGACCATCTATAAATAATACATCTTCTTTATCTTAATTTATAAGATTAAATACTTTATTAAATACTATTCGTTAAGCTTTATTTAATATATTTACCTTGGCAAAATCCTTAGGAACAATATAATAAGATAGTTTTTCTAAAAGTATTTTTGATAAATTTTTAATTTCTGTTTCTAAAATTAATTCTGGTAAATCATAATCAATTACTGTTCTTGCATGTCTTTGTAAAAATATATTTAAACTTTGAAGAACTGCTTGAATTTGATATTGTCCCTCAGGAATTCCTTTGTACATAAAGTCTTCAGCCATTGCATTAAAATTTTCATTCCATAGTTGTTGTATATCTATAATATTTTCAAAGACCAATAGTGTTGCAAATAGATCATGTAATTGACTAGACATTTGAAATTCTTTAACTTCAATTATACATTGCCAATACTCATTATCATTTTCTAAAAAACCTCTTTGTTGAGTACTCTTCTTAAAAGTAGTATATATAATTTCATTAATACTTTTAAGTTCTTTAAAGCTTTTAGCTCTTTTTACTTTTGTTAATAACAAACAAAGATAGTATCATTTACCTATATAATATAATTAAATTTTTAATATTTTTATTTTTATACTAAATTTATTTATTAATTATTTTATTATTTTATTTTATAAAAATATATTTATTTTCACTTGAATGAACTATAAATATTCTTCCAATACATCCTCCATATTTATGTTTATTCCATTTTTTAATATTTTTATTCCATATATAGTGCAAAGGAAAATTGGCATAAAGCAAGTTTCTTGCATCTGGATCTTGAATATTCATTTTAAAATATTCAATAAGAGATATTCACTAATTTCGATTATTTATAATTATATCTGTTAAGTCATTGCTTTCATTGAAAATACTGTAATTCTTTGTTGGTTTGGAAGATACACTTGTAAGCATATAATAATAGGATTCATTTTATTCATACTAAATCCAAATATTTATCAAATAGCTTTTGGTACTGAAATTCAATAGGCACTAATAAAATTTTAAATCTCATCGATTTTTGCTAGTGTTTCATATTGTTGAGATTTTTTAGTAACTTCAATTATTGTCTTATAATGGTCTTTATAAACATATTTAAATAAATATTTGATTGCTTTAATACTGGCACAAATTTCCATATTAATATGGCAATCATATTTTATACAAAGGAACTTATTATATGGCACTATTCATCAATTGTCTAATAGAATTGTTTGATTTTCTGCTTTTTTCTCAATATAATAATTATCTTGTCAATGACAATATATAGGATAAGTATTTTCTCTCTAAAAAGTTTTATTTTGAAATTTTGTGTTCTGTATTATCATTAATTATACATAGTGCATTAGAATTAAGCTTTTCACATGATTCATATAACATATTAGTAATAACTATATTATATAATCTGGAATTGATAGTTGAATCAGGTATTTCTGTACAAATAATAGTGTTGTATTCATTAGAAGATCACAGTTTATCTTTTGAATGAAGTATAACTAAAATATGTACTAGTCCAAATTGGGTTATTTGGCTGCCAAATTATAGCCGATTAAATCCAAATTTATTAATAAAAGTTTATACTGAAGTTTTGTTGTTTGGTCTAATTTATGCCACTCGGCACTTAAAAAAAACACAATAATTTGGCAAAAAAAAATACAACATTTGGCAAAAAATAAGTATTCGGCAATAAAATCATTCGGCAATAAAATCATTTGGCAAAAAAATCATTTGGCAAAAAAATATTTCTAGTTAAAAAATA